CTCCCCCCCAGCTCCCAGCCCCTCTCCGGCCCCCGGATACCCCCCACGGCCCCTCGTCTCCGCACGGCACCCGAACCCCCCCCCCAGCTCCCAGCCCCTCCCCGGCCCCCCGGACACCCCTCACTGCCCCTCGCCTCCGCACGGCATCCGAACCCCCCCCCCGGCTCCCAGACACCCCCCGGCCCCCGGACACCCCCCCCGGCCCCCCGCCTCCGCACGGCATCCGAACCCCCCCGGCTCCCAGACACCCCCCGGCGCCCGGACACCCCCCCCCCGGCCCCCAGCCTCCCCCGGCCCCCGAACCCCCCCCAGCTCCCAGCCCCTCCCCGGCCCCCGGACACCCCCCACGGCCCCCCGCCTCCCCCGGCCCCCAACCCCCCCCATGGCCCCCAGCCTCCCCTGGCCCCGCACCTCTGCACTCGGCCTTGGCGAGGGGGCGGCCGTCGCGGGCTCTCAGGGGGCTCCAGCGGCTGTCGACGCGGCACTGGCGGACCGGCGTGGGGTAGGGGAACTGCCCCTCGGGGCACTGGTAGACCAGCACCTGCCCCCCCCGCTGCAGCTTGGCCGAGCCCCCCACGATCGGCGCCGCCTGGGGGTCGCAGCTCGGGGCGTCGCTGGCGGCCGTGCCTGGGGTGGGGGGGGACACCAGAGTGTCAGGGCAAAGCCAGGGACCCCCCCCGCGCCCGGCCATTGGTGAGGGACCCCCCCAAATATCCCCCCCGTCCAGCCAGGGGGCGCCCGGCCATTTGCGTGGGACCCATAAAAACCCACCTGCCGGGCAGGGGCAATATGTGTCGGACCTACCCCAATTATCCCCCTTTCTGACCGAGTCCCGGGGTGGGGGGCGGGACTGGCTGGCAGGGGGGTCCAGCCAGGCTGGGGGCCCTGAGCTGGGAGGGGCAGGCGAGGGCTGGCTGGGTTGGGGGGCTGGGCTGGGGAGGCCCCTGCGTGGGGCTGGCTGCGCTAAGGAGCCTGGTTAAGGGGCTGAGTTGAGGGCCGGGTTGTGGGGCTGCCGGGGGGGCAGTTGGGGGGCGGGGGACCCACCGAGGCTCAGCGCCATGAGCCAGGCGAGCAGTGGGGCTGCGGGTCCCATCGCTCCGTGCGTCCGTGCGGGGCTGAGCGGAGCCGGGTCTGGCCGAGCCCCGCTGCCCTGGGGCGGGGCTGGGGGGCGGCTCTGGGGCAGGTGCTCGGAGGGAGGGGGTTGTGGGGGACCTGGGGGGCGGGGGGGTCTCTCTCTGCCAGTTCCCGCTGCCCCTTGCGAAACCTGCCCTGCCCTGTAGCGCGTCTGGGAAATGACGGGGGGGGGGGGCGGTCTGAGGGGAATTGGCGGGGGGGGGGGGCGGGGAATGAGCCAGCATCAGGAGGGGGATCAGGGGTGGGGGCACATGGAGGCGGGGGGATCCCTTCCCCCCCAGCCCAACTGGCCAGCTGACTTTTGGGAAATCCCCCCCCCCCATTAATTCCCCTCCCGAATTATTCCCCTCCCTAAATAAACTTCCGCTTTCCTGCACCGGCCGCCAGCTGCCCCTGGCCCGGGGCCAAACCGCGGGCGGGGGGGGGGGGGCACCCACTGCCTTTCCTAAGAACTGGCAGCTTCGGTCGGGTAAAGGAGGGTGCGACGAGAACCCAGGAGTCCTGGCTCCCAGCCTCCCACTCCAATCCCATCCCAGACACGCAGCAAGCACATGGAGGGCCCAAGTCCAAGGTCTGTATTTGTATACAGGGGGGTCACGGCCCCCAGCGCCCTCCCCCTTCCACTCCCTGCCCCCAGTCTGGCTGAGAACCACCCGTTCACCCCTGTCCTGGGCCTGCCTGCCTGGGGAGGGGAGTCAGACCCCTGGAGAAGGGAATGAGATAAGAGGGCACTGCTGTGGAGAAGCTCACAGCACGGGGGGGGTGCCCGACTGGGGGCACTGCCAGGGGGAAGCTCGCAGCCCTGGCCAGGGGCACTGCTGTGAGGAAGCTCACAGTGCTGGGGTGCCCAATCAGGGGCACTGCCATGGGGAAGCTCACAAACCTGGGTTGCCTGGCAAGAGGCACTGCTGTGCGGAAGCTCACAGCCCTAGGGTGCTGTCACAGAGGGTGGGGGAGTCAGGGCCCTGCACCCCCCATTTCCTGCGATTCCCCAGGACTCTCATCCAGCCGGCGAAACAGAAGGTTTATTAGACGACAGGAACATGGTCCAGGTGCAGTGAACAGGACCCTTCAGCCGGGTCCATGTTGGGGGGGAGCCTGGACCCCGGTGCTGGGCCTTCCCCCCCCAGCCCCGGGCCTTCCCCCCCAGCCGCCCGCCCCCCGCGTTTCCCCAGCCAGCTCCACACTGAAACTCTCCCCCCCTCCTCCGGCCTTTGTCTTTCCTGGGCCAGGAGGCCACCTGATCTCTCCGTTCTCCAGCCCCTTCAGCTGGCACCTTGCCGGGGAGGGGCCCAGGCCATCAGCGGCCAGGAGACGGGGTGTCGGCCAGTCTCGGTGCAGACACCATCCCACCCCCTTGTCGCACCACCTAGAGACTTAGGAAATGCCTAGGGGAAACTGAGGCACCCACACAGTATTCAGAGAAAACATTAGAACATTCCCACTTCGTCACAGGAGCACGGCTGGGGGCACTGCTGTGGGGAAGTTCACAGCCCTAGGGTACACAGCCAGGGGTACTGCCATGTGGAAATTCACAACGCTGGGAGTTGCCCAGCTGAGGGCACTGCCATGGGGAAGCTCACAGCGCTGGGGGGATGTGTGGCCGGGGGCACTGCCATAGGGAAGCTCGCAGCGCTGGAGGCCGGGGCAGGAAAAAGGCGGGGGGCACAAACCAGACAGAGACCTGAGTTAGCAAACAGTCTGTTATTGTGGGGGCAGGCGCAGGCCGTGGGGGGCAGCGGGGGGTCCCCGCTAGGGGATAAAGGTCTCTCTGTCCTTGCCCCCCAGGTGCCGGAGCAGCCAGTCCTGCACCCTGAAGAGGCTGACATAGAAGTCGCGGGGGACGTGGCCCCGGGGGGGTTGCCTCCTCGTCACCTCCTCATTCTTCTTCGGCCTCAGCAGGCACGGGTTGTAGGTGCCCCAGCTCACCACGCCCACCTGGGGAGACAGACACGGGGATGGGACCCAGGCATCTGGGACAACTCCCCCCACCTGCACAGCTCCCAGCCCCGGGGCCAGAGAGGATGGGACCCAGGCGTCCGGGCAAGAAAGCCGGGGGGAGGGGCTTACCAACCTGGAAATACCTCTTCTTCTTCTCCAGGAACAACCCCCCGCCAGATTCACCTGTGGGGGAAACCAGAACTCAGACCCACAGGGGACAGACCCTGTTCCCTGCCCCCTGAGCCCACCAGGCCCTGCCCTGGGGCCGGAGGAAGCCGGCGCCCCCCAGAGGGGACAGGCCCCTGCCCCATTCCCCGCCCCCCTGAGCCAGCCAGTCCCTGCCCTGGGGCTGATGTGAGCTGGCGCCCCCCAGAGGGGACAGGCCCCTGCCCCATTCCCCGCCCCCCTGAGCCAGCCAGTCCCTGCCCTGGGGCCGGGGGGAGCCGGCGCCCCCCAGAGGGGACAGGCCCCTGCCCCATTCCCCGCCCCCCTGAGCCAGCCAGTCCCTGCCCTGGGGCCGGGGAGAGCCGGCGCCCCCCAGAGGGGACAGGCCCCTGCCCCATTCCCCGCCCCCCTGAGCCAGCCATTCCCTGCCCTGGGGCTGATGTGAGCTGGCGCCCCCCAGAGGGGACAGGCCCCTGCCCCATTCCCCGCCCCCCTGAGCCAGCCAGTCCCTGCCCTGGGGCCGGGGGGAGCCGGCGCCCCCCAGAGGGGACAGGTCCCATGTCACCTTTGCAGGTAGAGGCCTCCTCTGAGCCGCCGCTGGCCTCCTGCCCGGAGCAGAGGAACCGGTCGGTCACCACCTGGGACACGTGTGACACGTTGGCGTAGATCATGTCACGCTGGATGGCACCCGCAATGCACGAAGGGCGCTGGGGGCGAGAACCAGGGCTTAGCTGGGCGCCAGGACTCCTGGGTTCTCTCCCAGCTCGGGCGGGGGGGGGGTCCGGGACTCCTGGGTTCTCTCCCAGCTCGTAACCGTGATTCGAGGGGCTCCGAAGCCGTGAGGTGTTTTGTGGACAATTCAGGAACTAGCTGGCCGGAGCCGGGGGTCTCGGTGCTGGGGAAAGAGGAGATCCCCCCGCCCCCCACGAACGGCCCAGCGCACGGTGAGACCGGCGGGGAGCTGCCGCGGCCCGACACCCCTGCCCGGCTTCTGGAGCTCAACAACGGGATCAAATCGGTTTCTCAGCCACGTCCTGTAGCTGCCGTTACCCGCCTCCGGTCAGCCCGTCCTCTTCACCCCCCTAAACCCCGCTCTGCTGCTCCGTGCCGGGCGCGATTCAGGGGGCTCTCCGGCGCGGGGGACGGATCCGTCCGAGGACGTCGGGGTTTCTCCGGCGAGGGGGGGGGACGGATCCGTCCGAGGACGTCGGGGTTTCTCCGGCACGGGGCGGGGGACGGATCCGTCCGAGGACGTCGGGGTTTCTCCGGCGGGGGGCGGGGGACGGATCCGTCCGAGGACGTCGGGGTTTCTCCGGCGAGGGGGGGGGACGGATCCGTCCGAGGACGTCGGGGTTTCTCCGGCGGGGGGCGGGGGACGGATCCGTCCGAGGACGTCGGTTTTCCGGCGGGGGCGGGGGACGGATCCGTCCGAGGACGTCGGGGTTTCTCCGGCGGGGGCGGGGGACGGATCCGTCCGAGGACGTCGGGGTTTCTCCGGCGGGGGGCGGGGGACGGATCCGTCCGAGGACGTCGGGGTTTCTCCGGCGGGGGGCGGGGGACGGATCCGTCCGAGGACGTCGGGGTTTCTCCGGCGGGGGGCGGGGGACGGATCCGTCCGAGGACGTCGGGTTTCTGCCGCCCGCTCGCATGCGTGGGACGCGCTGCTGTTGACCTGCAGCCTCGCTCTTTGGCCCGCCTGGGAACCGCGCTCTGTTTCGTTCAGATTTGATGGCATTTTGCCGACGCCTAAAAATCTGGTGTGACAATGAGCGGGCGGGCCGGCCCCGTGTCCGCGGCTCTGCGTGCGGCTGCCGTGGTGAGACCCGCGCGGCCCCGGTGAGCCCCGGCCCGGCTGACGCTCCGGCAGGGGCTGGCCGGGGATCACTGCGGCAGCCGGGCCGGGGCCGAGCTCGCCCCGCACAGACCGAGCCGGGCTGCCGAGGGACGGACGCCGATCGCACGGAGCAGCCCAACCCTCCGGCCCGGGCTCGGCCCAGCACAACCCCCGGAGCCTGCGGCCTGGCCCGTCTCCCCAGGGGGAGGTCACCGCACCAAGAGTGACAAGTGTGTGTGTGTGTGTCAGGATGTGTGTAAGGGAGACCATGTGTGCGAGGAAGACCAGGGTGTGTGTGTTGGGGGGTGTGCAAGGGAGACCGTTGTGTGTGCACGTCGGGGCATGTGCGAGAGAGACTGTGTGAGAGACAGCTCAGCAGAGATCAGGGTGGGGGGGACACCCCGTCAGCCCCCCCAGTTTCTCCCCTGCTGCAAATCCCCCCCAAATGGGGCAGGAACCCTGGGGGGGGCAGAGGGACCCACTTACCGACTTGTTGGTCTTGATTTGCACGTTTAACCTCTCGCTGGTCAGGGAGACGAAGTGGGCGGGGACCCGCTCCAGGCCCAGCAGCTCCAGCTCTGCAGGGCAGACAGCCAGGTCAGGGCAGGACACCTGGGTTCCCTGGAAGGGCAGCGGGGGCCCCCCCACGCCCTCAGCCCTGCCCCCCGAGCCGGCCGCCTCTGCCCACAGCCTGGAGCGGCGCCCCCCACGCCCTCCTGCCCCTGCCCGCGGAGCCCGGTGCCGCGAGACGCTCCCTGGTCCGCCAGCCTCGAGGGACGCACGGGGCGATCGTGTGCCCCCCAGCAAGGGGCGGGCGTGGCCCCTGGGACGTCGCACGCACCGTGATCCTTGCACGTCGTCCCCTGGGGCATCTTCAGAGCTCGGTTCGCTCGCTTCGTGCAGGGCAGGCAGATGGGTCTGGGGAGGAGAGAGACGGGCGCTGAGCTGGGGCTAGATCAGGACCGGCGCCCCCTAGAGGGGACAGACCCCTGCCCCATTCCCCGCCCCCCTGAGCCAGCCAGTCCCTGCCCTGGGGGGCAGATGGGAGCCGGCGCCCCCTAGAGGGGACAGACCCCTGCCCCATTCCCCGCCCCCCTGAGCCAGCCAGTCCCTCCCTGGGGGCAGATGGGAGCCGGCGCCCCAGAGGGGACAGACCCCTGCCCCTTCCCCCCCCCTGAGCCAGCCAGTCCCTGCCCTGGGGGGCAGATGGGAGCCGGCGCCCCCTAGAGGGGACAGACCCCTGCCCCATTCCCCGCCCCCCTGAGCCAGCCAGTCCCTGCCCTGGGGGGCAGATGGGAGCCGGCGCCCCCTAGAGGGGACAGACCCCTGCCCCATTCCCCGCCCCCCTGAGCCAGCCAGTCCCTGCCCTGGGGGGCAGATGGGAGCCGGCGCCCCCTCGAGGGCACAGGCCCCGGCCCCGCTCCCCGCCCTCTCTCCCCAGGAGGGGGCGCTCTCACCTGACCTGCCCCGAGAACTGCACGGCCTCCTGCAGTCTGATCAGGGACACGTCGTAGTCGTAGTATTCTGGGATGCCCTGGCCGGCCTTGGCCGTGACGTTGTAGCTCGGGTGATCGATCCTGCTCTGGATGGGGATCTCCACCGTCCCTGCCCCGAGACACAGCCTCAGCCCTGGCCCAGCCCCACGGCCACCCCTCACAGCCCGGGGACGGGCCCCCACCCTGGACGCTCCTCCTCGGGACATGGGGCTGGCAGCAGACTGGGGGCTGGGTTCGAGTCTGTACCCAGGGACTTCCCCCCTGCCTGGTCTCCTGGGGCCCTGGGGGGACGGTGCCCGCAACAGGGAGTGCGTCGGGGGTGTTGGTATGGGAAATATCCACAGAGCTGCATGTCCGGGCCCACAGGTACGTGGGGTGGGTCTGACTCGGCCACGAGTCCAAACAGCTGCCGCCAGCCGCCCCCCCGGACCCCTGCCCACAGCTCCGGGCGCCCCCTCAGGAAAGCGAAGGGGGCAGAGAAGGGAACAGAACTGATTCAGGGGCTGGTCCGTGCACCTGGGCCCGTTCAGCTTGGGAAAGAGATGACTGAGGGGCTGTGAACCGGGCCGGCTGGAGAGTGGGACCAGGGGAGCGTTATTCACCCCTTCCCGGAACGCCGGAACCAGGGGGCAGGCGAAGAAGTGACCAGGCAGCGGGCTCCAAATCCACACAAGGCGTCGCCCAGCGTGCCAACAACCTGTGGAACTCACTGCTGGAGGGTGCTGTAAGGCCAAAGCTCCTGGAGGACGGGTCTGTGGGTGGCTACGAGCCGGGATGGGCAGGGACGCCGCCCCGTGGCCCAAGTTCCCAGCCCTCGGACTGCCAGAGGCTGGGACTGGCCGGCAGGACGGCTCACTCGCTCATTGCCCTGCTCTGTTCATTCCCCTTGTCGGCCCATGAGGCCGTTCTCCTGCCCGTCAGCGGGGCCTGGGCTAGCCGAGGCGCCAGGCTGGGCTTTCACAAGCCATTGCCCAGGGGCCGGGCGGGGGCGCGGCGAGGGGAACGAAGCGCCCGGGTCAGAGCTGAGAAAAGGTTGCGTGCTGCGGTACAGGGGGAAAAGGGCCAAGGGGAGACCCGTGCCGGAGGCGACTCTGCCAGCGGGCGCATGCCGGGAAAGAGGCTAGTGGTTAGAGCGCTGGGAACCAGGACGCCTGGATTCTCTCCCAGCTCTGGGAGCGGAGTGGGGCCAGGTGGGTTAGAGAGGAGTCCTGGGTTCCAAGGGCCGAGTGCTGTGCAGGGTCCCTTACCCACTTTTACCCTCCAGAGGGACGTGTCTGTCACCTGGTTGAAGCAGTGTGCGGCCGTCAGGACCCACGAGTCAGAAACCAGGGACCCCCGGCACGACGCGCCTGTCGTCCCCTACGAACAGGGAGAGGGGCCAATGCAGGGAGGGGCTGTGGGAGGAATGCCTCCTCTCCCAACACTGCTAGGGGGACCAGCAGTGCTCACAGCCCCCGGGGAGGGAGGAAAAAGGACCCAGGCATCCAGGACAGCAGTCCCAGCCTGCAGGGAGGGAGGGAATGGGACGCAGGTGTCTGGGACAGTGGTCCCAGCCCCCGGGGAGGGAGGGAACAGGTGTGACAAAGTGGGACTGTTCTTAATGTTTCCTCTGAATACTGTAGGGGTGCCTCAGTTTCCCCTAGGCATCTCTTAAGTCTCTAGGGGGTGGGATAAGGGGGTGTCATTGTTGCAGAGCAAAGGGCCAGGGGACATAAATGGCCAACACCCTGTTTCCTGGCAACTGATGGCCTGGGCCCTTCCCCCCTGCAAGGTGAGAGCTAAAGGGTTGGAGAACAAAGGGATCAGGTGACCTCCTGGCCCAGGAAAGGAACAAAGCCCAGAGGAGGAGGGGCTGGAGGGAGTTTCAGTTTGGGGCTGGCTGGGGACATGGAGTGAAGGGCAGACATGGTTGTCTGGCTCACTGTCCCCCAAAATGGACCCAGCTGAGGGGTCCCGTTCTCTGCACCTGCAAGCTCTACTTTAGACCATGTTCCTGTCGTCTAATAAACCTTCTGTTTTACTGGCTGGCTGAGAGTCACGTCTGACTGCGGAGTTGGGGGGCAGGACCCTCTGGCTTCCCCAGGACTCCGCCTGGGTGGACTGGCTGTGGGAAGTGCAGGGAGGGGCAGAGGAGGCTGAATGCTCCAAGGTCAGACCCAGGAAGGTGGAAGCCGGGTGAGCTGTGTGTCCTGCAGACAGGCTGCTCCCAGAGAGGAGACTTCCTCAGAGTCCTGCCCGGCTTCGTAGGAAGGAGTTCCAGAGCATCGCCCGGGGACTCCACAACAGGACAGCGGTCCCAGCCCGCAGGGAGGAAGGAGGGAACGGGACCCAGGTGTCCGGGACAGCGGTCCCAGCCCCCAGGGAGGGAGGGAACGGGACAGCGGTCCCCCGAAGAGGGCTCAGCAGACAGACCCACCTTGATGACAACATGCCAGGGGTTCCGCTGCTGGGACGTGGCACTCAGCGAATCGTTTCCTAGCCCGCAGAGATCGTGGATGTTTTTTGGGTCTGTGCCATGTGGGGGGGAAGAGGGTTAGTCCTCGGGGTCACTGCTTGCCACATCCCTCTGTGTGTCCTCCACATCCTAGGGTCACTGTCCTGGAAGACCCCCAAGCCCACATGGCCCCATAGTCCCAGCAGAGCCCCTGCTCCCTCAGACTGGTGCCCCATGGGAAGAGACCCCCCCGCCCCGGCTTGGTTCCCCTCTGGGAGAGACGCCCCCACCCAGTTCCAAACAGGGAGACAAGACACCCCAGCCCTCCTCCTTGGCAGCTTGACTAGACAGCCTGCAAAGACGAGGCCCCCTCGCTGTGACTGGGGGACGCTGCACCCGTCGCACGGGTTGGCCCCTACGTACCCAGGACATCCTCGAACGCAGCCTTGAGATCCTGGCTTGAGTCCATCTTGAAGGCGTGCCTCTCCCCTTCCTTCTTAGACGCGATCTCATTAAGGCCATCCCAGTCCACCTCCAGCGTCCCAATCCCAAAGGCATAGACATCTAGGAGGCAAGTCAAGGAACTGCATGAGGGCAGCGAGAATCCGAAGGGTTTGGAGCTGGTGTTGAGGATGGAAAGTCACTGGAGAGCCCTGTCCCTGGTAGTGTGGCGTCTACAACCAGCAGTGTGCCCAGAACCAGTTATTAGGGCATTTTGGAACCCAGCCGTGCTTAGAAATGGTGTTGAGGCACCTAGAACAAACAGTGTAAATAGCCCAGCAGCAAGGCACTAGGACGGGTACTGTGGTGCCTAGAATTGGCACAGTGCCTAAAACTTATTACTAGGGCATAAGAAAGGCCATACTTGGTCAGACCAAAGGTCCAGCTAGCCCAGTATCTGGTCTTCTGACAGTGCCCAATGCCAGGTGCTTCAAAGGGAATGAACAGAACTGGTAATCATCAAGTGAGCCATCCCTTGTTGCTCATTCCCAGCTTCTGACAAACCAAGGACCTAGGACCATCTAGGACCTAATAATGCCTAGAACCAGTGTTGAGGTACCTAGAACCCACAGTAGAAGGAATTGGGTAGTGAGGAATAGGGTGCACAGAGGAATTTGGACATTGTAGCATATAAATAAAATTGAATTATTATTATTCATACCTATAACTGGCACCTAGAATCAAGAAAACAGAAAACTTGGTAGCAAATTGAGCAACTCAAAAGTTTAAGTGTGGAACGTCCCTCCCCCTGAACAAAGAAAAATGACCTTTTTGGGCAAAAATTTTCAGCAGGCACTATCTATTTTCAGTTAAAACTGAAAAAAAATGGCAAAATTTGAAAAACACCCAGAAACGCCTGAAAAAAATTCTTAATAAAAGCCTTTGTTGCTTTCATCAAAACTTTTTTGTGGGAAGAAAACTCATTTCATAACCAGGTCTGGTCTCAGGAAAATAGAACAAATGTAGTGGTACCTAGAACCAGCAGTACAAATAACTTGGTGGTAAGCTACTGAGCTGCTTAGGATGGGTGCTGAAGCACCAGATCCTGGTATTGCAGCGCCAAGGAAGATATTGACAAATCTAGAATGGGAAGTGCCAAGATCCTGGAACTGTAGCCACAGCCAAGTAATGAAGCACCTAGAACCGGCATGGAGACACCTAGAACAGGTAGATCACATCAATGAAGGACTGCAACCATCACTGGCATGTGGAATGGACCCAAGTGTGTTGGCAGACTCACCTAGGTAGTCTTTCCTGTCTGGCTTGATCTCTAGGACATCTTCTATCTTGACAACCGCATCCTTGGGAGATCCTCCCATGTTGTATTTGCCTGAAACAACATCCTATGGGTTAGGAGATATGACCCATTCCCTTCCCCCAAGACAGGGGCACATTGACAATGGGCTATGCAGTTGGGAAGCTTGACCTACACCCACTGAGGGTGGGGTCAGATAACCCTTTCCCTGGCCCCCAAAGAATGGAACAGTTGCTCCTCACCATCTGTCAGCACAATGATGGCATGCCGGATTTTCTTCCACGCATCCGGCTTGCCCGCCCGGTTGAAGGTTTCCTTCTGGAACAGGATCATGTTATACACCTCCAGCAGCGCCGCTCGGATGTTGGTCCCAGTCCCGTTGCCATGATCTGCAAAAGGATAAAATACCCCATATACCTAGAACTGGTGTTAAGGCACCTAGAACCCAGGATATAGTGAAGCATCTGAAACTCATGTGGGGGAGCCTAGAACCAGTAATGACAATAGCTGGAATAGATCTATCTAGAGGCAGTGGAATCTAGAGCTCAATTTCAGAGGTGATGCGTGAGGGGGCATGTGCGAGCACGTTCCTTCCTCCCCCCCAGATTTGCTGCTTCGCTTGGACTGAGCATGCTCACATGGACTGAACCTGCTCAGTAACACTGCTGAAGCCAGCTGCCCTCGCTCTGCCCACCCCCATCAGCAGGCATGGGTTGGCTCTGCTGGTGTTGATGCATCTAGAGCCCTAAAGGAGATGCAGCTATTGAAGCTCCTGGAACCTAGAATACCCAGGACTTGTGTTGAGGCATCTAGAACCAATAATGGGGTTGAGGTGCCTAGAAGCATAGTGCCCACACGTGGTGCTAAGTCATCAAGAACCAACAGCGCCCAGGACTAGTGCTAAGGCAACTAAAATTCTCGTGAGATTAAGGGCTGGTATTGAGGCACCTAGAACTTAACATTTCCTCCCACTCAGTCCCACTCGGCATTTCCTTAGTTTGGGGAAATTAGTTCTCTTGAAGCACTAAATATGTATATTTCTGGCTGGGACCATCTCTGTTTGCTCATATTGAATGCAACAAGGTCATGATCGACATTGGTGAGGCCTCATCTGGAGTACTGTGTCCAGTTTTGGGCCCCACACTACAAGAAGGATGTGGATAAATTGGAGAGAGTCCAGCGAAGGGCAACAAAAATGATTAGGGGTCTGGAACACATGACTTATGAGGAGAGGCTGAGGGAGCTGGGATTGTTTAGCCTGCAGAAGAGAAGAATGAGGGGGGATTTGATAGCTGCTTTCAACTACCTGAAAGGGGGTTCCAAAGAGGATGGCTCTAGACTGTTCTCAATGGTAGCAGATGACAGAACGAGGAGTAATGGTCTCAAGTTGCAGTGGGGGAGGTTTAGATTGGATATTAGGAAAAACTTTTTCACTAAGAGGGTGGTGAAACACTGGAATGCGTTACCTAGGGAGGTGGTAGAATCTCCTTCCTTAGAGGTTTTTAAGGTCAGCCTTGACAAAGCCCTGGCTGGGATGATTTAACTAGGAATTGGTCCTGCTTCGAGCAGGGGGTTGGACTAGATGACCTTCTGGGGTCCCTTCCAACCCTGATATTCTAGGATTCTATGATCACTGGTCTCTAGGCAACCACTGACTTCCAGTCCAGTGATCAATTCCTCTTTATCTGTCACAGTAAGATCCATAATAGAGTTAGTTCGTGGTGGGTGCAATGCTTTCTGAGTTAGCAAATTACATTCTATTATTTTTAGAAACCCTAATGATGGTTTATTACTGGCTTGATGAGACCACCAGCATCCATCTCCCAGTCTGAAGGTAGGTGTTGAGGCATCTAGAACCCAGGTAATACCCAGGGTCCTGCGGCACCTAATACGGGTCGTGGGTGGTATTGAAAGCGCGAGACCCCCATGCATTAGGGAGGCCACACGAAGAGGAAGCATGCAAAACCTTGAAAATTCATCCCCGTCTTTGTCTTTTTGATAACTTCATCTGCTTCAGCAGCTTCGGGATCATAAATGGCAACGATTTTCTTGGGTTTGGTGGCGTAGGAGATCACAGCAAAGCTGGACGCTACTTCAAAGCTGGCAATCTGGAACGGGTGAGAGATAGGGAGGGAACAGGAAACAGAGGAAGAGGAGGACAGCGTATGAGAAAGAACAGGAAAGTGAGCTCTGGCAATGAGAGAGACCTAGACCCAGTGCTGAGGGGCCCAGAGCAGGTGCTGAGGCATTTAAAACCAACACTGAGACACCTAGAATTTGCAGCACATGTGGCTGGTATTGAATAACCTAGAACCAAGGTGGCGGCACCTAGAACTTGCAATGCCCATAAGCTGTCACTGTAGGTAGACTCAGCCTATGAGCACTTGGAATTTGCAGCAGCCATATAAGGCAGTGAGATTCCTAGAACGGGGCAGAGGCACCTACAACTTGTAGCACTCATTGTTGGCACTGGAATACCTAGATTTGATGTGTGAGAAGCTACAATTTGCAGTGCCCATGGCTACCACTGAGATACCGAGAACAGGCAGGCAGGCATCTAGAGACTGTAGCATTCATGGCTGGCCTGCGGCATGTACCGCCTGCGCACAAGCCCCGAGAACTTGCAGCGTCCATGGCTGGCGTTGACGTACCTAGAACCAGCAGGCATGTGCATAGAACTTGTGTCACCCATGTCTGGCAGTGAAGAACCTTTGAGCTGACATACAAGTACCCAGAACTTGCAGCATCCACAACGGACATTGAGGCGCCCAGAACCATTGTAGAGACCCCTAGAAAAACCGCAGCAGCCATGGCTGGTGTTGAGGCGCTTAGAACCAATGCTGGGACACAGTTCCTGACAGCGGAGCTGCCACCCCTACCCCGGACTCACCCGGTCCACAATGTTCTCCACCCATTCCTTGAAGATCTGGAAGCTTTCTTTGTTGACGCTCTTCGAGGAGTCCACCAGCAGGTAGACGTTAAGGAAGCTGTCGTCGCTAAGAATGAGCCTGCGGCCCAGGAACGTTGCTGGGCAGGGGAACCGGGAGGGGTTATTTGCACCATCCTGGGGAGGGGGATCCCCCCCGTGTGCACCACCTCCCTTACACCACGTAGTACCAACCCCTACTCCCTCAATTCCCTCCTCCCCCACTGCCTCTTGCTACCCCATGAGTTACCCCCATCTCTTGGGCTCCCACCCCCGCCGCATCCTCTTCGTCCCGCAGAGACCACCCTCTCCCCCTGGTCCCCACCCCCTCAGAATCCCCCCCCAGACTCCCAGGCAGACTCACGTGTCTTTAGGATGGAGGTGTTGAGGCTGGAGGAGGCCGAGGAGCTGGCCAAGCCCAAGACGTTGGAGAAGGAGGCTCCGAACTCGGCCCCGACGTCCTCCACCCGGTCGTAGGAGAAAGGGGCTGTGCGGGCAGGGGGGAAGCGGGGCCCCCGTTAGCCAGGCAGCACGGAGCACGGCGCCGGAGGTGCGGGGGAGACAGAGGGTCAAGGAGGGATGGGGAGGGAGACCCTGGGCAGGTGGGGGGGAGCTGCGGAGCGGGGTGAAGGAGCTGCAGGGATGAGAGAACCTGGAGGGGGTAGAGGGCCAGAAGGGGGAGCCCTGGGCCAGGGATGGGGGGAGGGGAGGAGGGAAGGGATGGGGTGGCGGGGAATCACTCACCTCTGCAGCTGGGCTCGGCCCCCGACCACTCCCCGGCCTCGGTGCAGATGCGCTGGGCAGAGCCCACCAGAGACAGCCCTGGCTGGCAGCGGTAGGAGACCCGCTCGCCCAGCCGGTACCGGCTGCCGCTCTTCGTCGTCCCGGCTGGCACCCCGGGGTTGGGGCAGTGCTCAGCTGGGGGGAGAGAGAGGTGAGAACGGCCCCCTGAATCCCTCAGTTTCCGACCCCCCAGGACCCACCTCCACCCCTGAGCCCCCTGGGGACATGGTGGTTCTTGGGGGATACAGGGGATATGAGGGTCCTCAGGGGGGTCTCACCTCCGTCGTCGCAGGCGGGGGTGCCCCCGTCCCAGTGCCCGTTCCCCTGGCAGATGCGCTGGGCTGGCCCCCGCAGCGTGTACCCGTCCAGGCACTCGAAGGTCAGGACGCTGCCCACGGGGTAGGATGCCCGGCGCGGCTGGAACGAGCCGTTCTCAAACGCCAGCTGCGCCGGGCAGCGGATCTCTGAAACCAGAATGGAACCTGAGTGGAGAGAACCCAGGAGTCCTGGCTCCTGGCCCCCCACCCCTCCGGCCCACTCGACCCCACTCCCCTCCGAGAGCTGGGGATAGGCTCCCAACCCCATCCCGCTCTAAACGCCAGCCCCCACTCCCCTTCCAGAGAACCCCGGTGTCCGGGCACCCCGTACCTCTGCAGAGCGGCTTGGTGGAGACGGAGCCTCTCGGGGTACGGAGCGTGGTCCAGCGCCCATTGTCCTGGCAGAGGCGGCTGCCCAGGGGGTAGGGGTAGAAGCCCGGGGGGCAGGAGTAGGTGAGCACGCTGCCCCGGCGGTACCCGTCCGACAGGGCGAATGTGCCATTGCGGATGGCCACGTCCTGGCCACAGAAGGGCGCTGCCTCCTCGGGGGGCTGCGCCCAGGCACCTGGGGGAGACGGGGAACACGCAGGGACCAAGGGAGGAGAGAGAGAGAGATTCGGAGGAAAAGGGAGAGAGAAAAAAAGAACAGAGACGAGACAGAGGGAAGGAAAGAAAAAGGGAATGAGAAAAAACGAAAGAGAGAGAGAAGGAAGGAGAGACTGGTAAGGGGGGGGAGAGAAAGAAAGAACAGAACGAACAGGGGAATGAGAGAAAGACAGAACGAGGCGGCTTGCGAGAGGGGGAAAAGGCAGGAAGAGGGATGGAGGCAGAAGACGGGAGGAAAGAGGGTGGGATGGGCAGCAGGATGGGGGGACAGGAAAAGGGGAACGAGAAACAGGCCCAGTGAAGGAGTGCGGGGAGGATGTTTCAGTCCCACCCCCCCCCCCGAGTTCGACCCCCCCCCAAACTCCCTCCGCATCCCTCGCCCGCCCCATCCCTGGTGGGCTCTGCACCCCCACCCCGTACCTGGGCGGAGGGCGAGCAGGAGGAGAGCGCAGAGGGAGGGGGCCATGGTGGTTCCTGGGGGGGACCCGCGCACCTGCTCCTGGCCCCGGCTGCTCTCCTATGGGGACCCTCCCCTGTGGGGCCAGGCCCAGCCTCAGGCCCCTCCCTCTCCAGGCGAAAGGGCTGGGCTCTTGCCCCCCCGCTCAGGGCTGGCAGCGTTCCGAGGGGGAAGGGGCGGGGGTCTGGCCTTGCGGCCCCCAGGGTCAGGGTCTGTTTGTTTTCGTGACACGCACGGGGCTGCACAAACAAGGGCTCATTTCCCGGATCCCCGGTTAATGGGTACAGGATTAGTGAGCCCCGAGCCAGCCCCGCGGCCCCGCCCCCACCGGGAGAGAACCCAGGAGTTCGGCCCCCCCCCCCGCTCTAACCACCACACTCTACTCCCCGCCCCCGCCGGGAGAGAACCCAGGAGTCCGGGGCCCCCTCCCGTCTGCTCTAACCACCACATCCCACTCCCCACCCCCGCCGGGAGAGAACCCAGGAGTCCGGGGCCCCCTCCCATCTGCTCTAACCACCACACCGCACTCCCCACCCGGAGAGAACCCAGGAGTCTGGGGCCCCCTCCCGTCTGCTCTAACCACCACACCCCACTCCCTACCCTCGCCGGAAGAGAACCCAGGAGTCCAGGGCCCCCTCCCGTCTGCTCTAACCACCAGACCCGACTCCCCGCACCCACTGGGAGAGAACCCAGGAGTCCAGCCCCCCCCCCCCGTCTGCTCTAACTACCACACCCCACTCCCCACCCCTGCCGAGAGGGAACCCAGGAGTCCGGGCCCCCCCGCCATCTGCTGTAACCATCAGACCCCACTCCCTGCCCCTGCCGGGAGAGAACCCAGGAGTTCGGGCCCCGCCCCCCCCATCTGCTCTAACCACCAGACCCGACTCCCCGCACCCACTGGGAGAGAACCCAGGAGTCCAGGCCCCCGTCTGCTCTAACCACCACATCCCACTCCCCACCCCCGCCGGGAGAGAACCCAGGAGTCCGGGCTCCCGCCCCCGTCTGCTCTAACCACCACACCCCACTCCCCGCACCCACCGGGAGAGAACCCAGGAGTCCAGGCCCTCCCGTCCCCGTCTGCTCTAACCACCACACTCCCTCCCCACCCGGAGAGAACCCAGGAGTCCGGGCCCCCTCCCGTCTGCTCTAACCACACACCCCCACTCCCTACCCTCGCCAAGAGAACCCAGGAGTCGGGCCCCCCGCCATCTGCTGTAACCATCAGACCCCACTCCCCTGCCCCTCTGGGGGAACAGGAGTTCGGGCCCCGCCCCCCATCTCTCTAACCACCAGACCCGACTCCCCCACCCACTGGGAGAGAACAGGGTCAGGCCCCCGTCTGCTCTAACCACCACATCCCACTCCCCACCCCCGCCGGGAGAGAACCCAGGAGTCCGGGCTCCCTCCCGTCTGCTCTAACCACCAGACCCCACTCCCCGCACCCACCGGGAGAGAACCCAGGAGTCCAGGCCCCCGTCTGCTCTAACCACCACATCCCACTCCCCACCCCCGCCGGGAGAGAACCCAGGAGTCCGGGCTCCCTCCCGTCTGCTCTAACCACCAGACCCCACTCCCCCACCCACCGGGAGAGAACCCAGGAGTCCAGGCCCCCGTCTGCTCTAACCACCACATCCCACTCCCCACCCCCGCCGGGAGAGAACCCAGGAGTCCGGGCCCTCCCGCCCCCGTCTGCTCTAACCACCACACTCCACTCCCCACCCGGAGAGAACCCAGGAGTCCGGGCCCCCTCCCGTCTGCTCTAACCACCACACCCCACTCCCTACCCTCGCTGGAAGAGAACCCAGGAGTCCGGGCTCCCTCCCGTCTGCTGTAACCACCAGACCCCACTCCCTGCCCCTGCCGGGGAGACCAGGAGTCCGGGCCCCCCATCTGCTCTAACCACCACACCCCACTCCCCACCCAGAGAGAACCCAGGAGTCCGGGCCCCCTCCCATCTGCTCTAACCACCACACCCCACTCCCTACCCTCGCTGGAAGAGAACCCAGGAGTCCGGGCTCCCTCCCGTCTGCTCTAACCACCAGACCCACTCCCCACCCCCGCCGGGAGAGAACCCAGGAGTCCGGGCCCCCAGCCCCCTCCTCGTTCAGAGTGGGAGATGGGGGAGGGGCACGTTTGTGTGTGTGGGGGGTGGTTTCCATGGTGATTTTATGGGTAAAAAATGTCCCTCGTCCCCCCGCCCATGTGGTGCTTGGCGCCGCGTGATGACGTCACTGTTCTTAAAGGGGAGGACGCGAAAGGGAGAATTAAAGGGGCCCCTGGATGGAGAAGTAGCCACCAAATCCCCAAGTGCCCCCAGCTCCCAGAATGCACTGGGGCTGCCCCCCACGTACCCCCATATCCCATGATGTACCAGTGCCACCTCCGCCCAATACACCCCGGTATCCCACAATGCACCAGAGCCTTGCCCTGCCACACCCCCCCGTATCCCACAATGCACTGGGGTTATCTCCCCCCAAAAATCCCCCATATTCCAGGATGCACTGGGGCCATCGCCCCCAACAATCCCTATATCCCACGATGCACTGGGGCCTTGTCCCCCCCATGCACCCCCGTATCCCGCGATGCACCACAGCCTTGCCCTGCCACACACCCCCGTATCCCACAATGCACTGGGGTTATCTCCCCCCAAAAATCCCCCATATTCCAGGATGCACTGGGGCTGCCTCACCCCACACACCCCCATATCTCATGATGCACTGGGGCCATCGCCCCCAACAATCCCTATATCCCACGATGCACTGGGGCCTTGTCCCCCCCATGCACTCCCGTATCCCACGATGCACCACAGCCTTGCCCTGCCACACCCCCGTATCCCACAATGCACTGGGGTTATCTCCCCCCAAAAATCCCCCATATTCCAGGATGCACTGGGGCCATCGCCCCCAACAATCCCTATATCCCACGATGCACTGGGGCCTTGTCCCCCCATGCACCCCCGTATCCCACGATGCACCACAGCCTTGCCCTGCCACACACCCCCGTATCCCACAATGCACTGGGGTTATCTCCCCCCAAAAATCCCCCATATTCCAGGATGCACTGGGGCTGCCTCACCCCACGCACCCCCATATCTCATGATGCACTGGGGCCATCGCCCCCAACAATCCCTATATCCCACGATGCACTGGGGCCTTGTCCCCCCATGCACCCCCGTATCCCACAATATACCAGAGCCTTGCCCTGCCACACCCCCCCGTATCCCACAATCTCATGATTGCACTGGGGCTGTCGCCCCCCAACAATCCCCTATATCCCACGACGCACCGGGGCCTTGTCCCTCCACGCACCCCTGTATCCCATGATGCACCGGGGCTGCCTCTCCCCAACCCCCCCATATCTCACGATGCATGGGGCCGCCTCCCTCCCACGCACCCCCATATCCTACTATGCACTGAGGCCACCTCCCCCTCTGCCCTCTCCCACACCGGGTCCGCCTCCCCCCCGTATCCCACAATGCACCGAGGCTGCCTCCTCCCCAACGCATCCCCGTATCCCACGATGCACCGGGGTGGTGGGGCTGCCTGTCCCCCCCCTTGTCCTCTCTCCTACCTTCCCCGTTTACTTTTCATCTGGCGGACAATAATCCCCTCGCCGGGTCCTGCCCCTTTAAGAGCCCCTCGCCTCGCCTGGCCCCTTTAATTCCCTTTCTCTGGAGTTGGCTCCTTGTGCAAAAATAGAAACCCCCCCAAACCCCCCAAAGCGAAGCGAGGGGCAGAAACCCCGGGGGGCCGGGACCCGCGGCCGCCTGCAGGTGAGGGGGGGCCACCCAGGGAGTGGGGAGGGGTGCAATGGGGGGCGGGTGCAAAGGGGGAGGGGGCAGTGGGGGAGGGGTACAATGGGGCGCAGGGGGGGTGGAATGGGGGAGGGGCGTAGTGGGGGAGGGGTGCAATGGGGCGCAGGGGGTTGGGTGCAAAGGGGGAGGGGCACAATGGGGTGCAGGGGGTGGGTGTAAGGGGGGCGGGACGCAAAGGTTGGGTGCAATGGGGGAGGGGTGCAGGGGGGTGGGTGTAATGGGGGTGGGGCGCGGCGCAGAGGTTGGGTGCAGTGGGGGAGGGGCGCAGTGGGGGAGCTCTGTCCAGGGTGGGTTCAGGGCCACTTTGCAGCCGGTCAGGTGGGTGCCTGCCTCGGTCCCCCCTCCCCCCGGATGTGGGGCGCGGGGAAGGCAGCCAGGGCCGGCAGGGTGGGCCGGCCGGGTGTGATCGGGGCGAAAGGGGGAGCATGACAGGGAGAAAGGGGGTGCCCGGGGGGCTGTCCGGCCTCAGCTAACCCTGTCCTTCCTGTCTGCCTCCAGCCCGGCCTCACTTCCAGTCGCCCCCCGGCTCCCCCTTCCACCTCCCCAGCTCCCCCTTCCACCCCCCCAGCTCCTCCTTCCACCCCACAACTCCCCTCAGCTCCCCCTTCCAGCCCCCCTTTCCAGCTCCCCCTCCACCCCACAACTCCCCCGGCTGCCCCTTCCAGCCCCCCAGCTCCCACAACTCCCCCCCGGCCCCCCCTTCCAGCCCCACAACTCCCCCGAGCCCCCCCCGGCCCCCCCGGCATGGCGTCGGGCGTGGAGCTGCTGCGCTTCCAGCTGCCGGGCCACGAGGCGGCCACGCTGCGGAACATGAACCAGCTGCGCTCGGAGGAGCGCTTCTGCGACGTGACCATCGTGGCCGAGAGCCTGAAGTTCCGGGGCCACAAGGTGATCCTGGCGGCCTGCTCCCCGTTCCTGCGCGACCAGTTCCTGCTGAACCCCTCCTCCGAGCTGCAGGTCTCCCTCATGCACAGCGCCAAGATCGTGGCCGACCTGCTCCTCTCCTGCTACACCGGGGCCCTGGAGTTCGCCGTGCGCGACATCGTCAACTACCTGACGGCCGCCAGCTACCTGCAGATGGAGCACGTGGTGGAGAAGTGCCGCAACGCCCTCTCCCAGTTCATCCAGCCCCAGATCGGCCTCAAGGAGGACGCCCCCCCGGCCAAGGGGGGGGCCCCCCGGGCGCCGGCCGGCCCCTCGCACCAGGAGCGGGCCCGCCACCGCCTCCCGGCCTGGCCCCTCAAGCTGGAGCTGGAGGAGCTGGAGCTGAAGGACGAGGAGGAAGAAGAGGACTACGGGGACGACGACGGCGTCTCCGACATCTGCATCGTCAAGGTGGAGTCGGCCCTGGAGGTGGCCCAGCGGCAGAAGAAGCAGCAGCAGCAGGCGGCCTGGGCCAAGGAGGGGTCCCCGCCCCCCGGCTGGGCCAAGGAGCAGCAGCAGGAGGCCCAGGTAAACTCCACGGTGGCCGAGGGGCCGGCGCCGCCCGAGCCGGCCCCGCAGGGCGTGGTCAAGGCCTGCTACAGCCTGGCCGAGGACGCCGAGGGCGAGGGGCTGCTCATCTTCCCGGGGGGCACCTACGCGGAGGAGGCCGGCGGGCGCCCCGGGGCCGGGCGCGGGGGGCCGGCGGGCCCCCACCCGCTGCGCAGCATCCGCTGTGCCAAGTGCGAGGAGGCCTTCCAGGGGGTGGAGAAGCTGGTCTTCCACATGCGGGCCCAGCACTTCATCTTCATGTGCCCCCGCTGCGGCAAGCAGTTCAACCACAGCAGCAACCTCAACCGGCACATGAACGTCCACCGGGGCGTCAAGTCCCACTCCTGCGCCGTCTGCGGCAAGAGCTTCACCCAGAAGTCCACCCTCCACGACCACATGAACCTGCACAGCGGCCAGCGCCCCTACCGCTGCTCCTACTGCGACGTGCGCTTCGCCCACAAGCCCGCCATCCGCCGCCACCTCAAGGAGCAGCACGGCAAGACCACCGCCGAGAACGTGCTGGAGGCCAGCGTCTCCGAGATCAACGTCCTGCTGCCCTAGCGGGCGCCGGGAGGGCAGCTGGGGCTGGCGGTCAGAGCCCGGGGGAGGAGGGGGGGCTGGGAGCCAGGACGCCTGAGTTCTCTCCCGGGCTCGGGGAGGGGAGTGGGGTGTAGTGGTTAGAGCAAGGGGGGGCTGGGAGCCAGGACGCCTGGGTTCTCTCCCGGGCTCGGGGAGGGGAGTGGGGTGTAGTGGTTAGAGCAAGGGGGGGCTGGGAGCCAGGACGCCTGGGTTCCATCCCGGGCTCGGGGAGGGGGAGAGGAGGGGAGCTACCGGGTCAGAGCCGGGTGCGTTTTCCCAGCAGCCAAAGAATGGACGTCCCCGGCAGGGGAATTGGAGCCCAGGATGTGCAGAGCGAAATGCCGGGCCGGGTGACCTACGGCGGCGGGAGGGGGCATCTCCAGTAGCTGGTAGTAGTAGGTTTTTGTCCGTCTCTCCCGATGGCAAGACAGGGGTTTAGCAACCTTCAGCTAGCCAAGTGCAGATTTAGCCACTAGGAATTAGAGAGGGACTGGCGGGGATGGGGCACAGACCTTTCCCCGCTGGCCCTGGGGTGGGGGCTGGCTGATGGGGCGTGGGGCTGTCCCCCTCGGGGGGGCGCCGGCTCTGGGGCTCACCCTCCACGTCCTTTCAACCAGTTTTTAGATTGTTTAAAACTTTTTTTTTATTAAAAGGAAAGAAAAGAAAGAAGTGTCCAAGCTGTTTTATTTGGGAGTGGGGTGCAGTGGTTAGAGCGGCTGGGGGGCTGGGCTGGGAGGCAGGACTCCTGGGTTCTCTCCAAGCTCTGGGAGGGGAGGGGGCT